AAATTGTGTTCCAGTGCATCTGAATAGATTTTATTTCAACAGCCAAATATTAAATTAGTAAAAGTGTTGAAATAGGGATCAGCCTACCTACTTATTGGCGGGGCCCACTGGTTATTTACATCAAATATTGTAATTTCTTTTGTTGTCTCCTGGTATAGAAAATCTAATTGTCTTTGTCTACAGGAAAAAAGGATTTGTTTTGGAAGACAGTTATGTAAAAATCCTACCTGGAGGTTTGGAATTATTTGTTTTTATTTCAGAAAGAATTCAAGATGAGAGTAATACATTTTTCAGTAAATAACAGAAGAGCCTTTACTGTGAAGTGCCAGATTGTTCACGATTGTTCTTTCAAAGAGCTCTATTTCTCTCTCTCTCTCACACACACACACACACATGCACACATATGTGCACTGCTTCTAGGATTCTAGAATTCATCACAATGTAATGAACATGGATGAAATCATTGTGGCACAGTGGAAAGAATATGGCCTGAGGATTAGGAGCCCTGAATTCTCACCCTGACTCTGTCAGCATGTGATCTCGGACAATCCACTGGGCCTATTTCCTCACCTATAAAATGAGAATGTCAGGCTAAATATTCTCTAAAGCTCTAAAGTTACGAACCTATAAACCTGAATTTCAGCACCAGTTGAAGTAGAAGGAATCTTTTTTATAGAAATTTCTCACAAACCAAACAGGACTCATCACTTGAAAATAACCTGAGGAAAGCAATTCTGCCAGGTCATGGGGGCAGATAAACTGATAAAGTCTATCTTGTCTCCAGTTCTCATGATTCTAGGTGACAGGAAGGAGGAAAGGTGGGTGAATTTTCACTCTTCAAAGAGCAGGCAACATCTCTTTTTGAGGACAGAAGTAAAGACTGTGTCCCCCACTCTGCTGCTTCCTTCCAGGACCCTGATGCTTCCCATGGGGACAAGTCCTGCCCTGTCACTGACAACCTCCTTCATGGGCCGGTCTGCCATGTTGACCTCCATGGTTCTCAGAGCCCAGCTGAAAGGCCAACCTTTCTTTCCCATTTTCCTGCTCTTCCATCATTGATGGTTGTGTGGTGAACGTGTCTTTCCTGAGATGAAGAATGAAAACTACTTGTTATCTCAGCTCAGTTGCAATGTTGTTAGAGGTGCCTTCCCTGACCCTCCTGATATATATATCTCAATCACTTTCTATTCCCTTACCTGCCTTATTGTTCAGAAGATGTGTTACCTGCAGGCATAGATTTCTTTCTTTATGTCCATCACCTCTGCTAGAGTGTAAACACCCAGGAGACTTTTGATCCCTATTTTATTAGTCAATACACAAAACAGAGTCTTAGAACATAATAAAAAACCAAACCTGTTGCTATCGAGTTGATTCCAACTCATGACAACCCCATATGTGTCAGAGTAGAACTGAGCTCCCTATGGTTTTCACAGCTGTGACCTTTAGGAAGCCAATCACCAGGCCTTTCTTCCAAGGTGCCTCTGGATGGACTCAAACCTCCAGCCCTTTGCTTAGTAACTGAGCACTTAACTGTTTGCACCACCTAGGGGCTCCTTGGAACATAACAGACATACGATAAATACTTGTTGAATAAATGAAATATGGATTCTAGTAAATCCAGACCTGCGGTCTAGTCTTCTGGCCAATCAATCCCTACAAGTCGTATGTCAAAGGAGAAATTCAACTAAGTGTATTCAGCTAAAGTCGTTGTGTGCCATAGCCTCATAGGGCTTCCTAGGCTGAAATCTTTATGGAAGCAGTTCTCCAGGTCTTTTCTCCCGAGAACCGAGAACCTCTGGCAAGCAGCAAGGCACTTAACCACTGTACCATCCCGGCTCCTTCTCAACTAAAGGACCAGACTTTAATCCTTACTGCAACTTGTGACAAGGAGGTGCTCTGGTGCCCATTTTCTAGTTGAGGAAACAGAGACTCAGCTTGCTAAGCGCCTTGCCACAAGGGTACACACCACCTAAGTAGCACAACCAAGAATGGATCCAGGTTTTCAGACCCCAGGTCGCCTGCTCGTTTACCTAGGACATCCACCACGATTGCATCCCCATTTTTAATGGCACCATGTGCTTGAGTTAAGGGTCCACAGATGAAATATTTGGATTCAGTTGAAGCCTGCCTAGAACTAAGATGCAGTTTTTGAAACCAGGTCAGTTCTTAAAGCAGCCACCAGTATCACATGCTTTTCAACACTGATAATATCACTGGGTGGAGCATGGGCGAAGTTGGGCGTTGTTTTGTATCACGGGTTAAGATGTCTGTGGCCAGAGAAGAGTGGAATGGATCCCACCAACTCTGGTGGTCCCAACCTGATGCCCAGAGGCTTCCCAGAAGACAAATTTGAAAGAAGATAACACGATACAGAAGGATTTATCATAATAAGGACAATGAGATTAAGATTTTGTAATGACATGGATTCTGTGCAAATTATGCACAGAATAAAGAGCTTCTGTGAAGAAATCCAGACTTCTCTGGCTTCTTAGACCAAATACCTCCTGAGCTCTAAGATCCGCAGATATTTTAAAATATAGACATGCCTTATATTTGAGGATGAAATATGCAGGTGCATAACACCACATCTCAGAATCACTCAGAGCTGATTTTTCAAGGCAGTTCAAACTGGAATGCACGTTCTGAAATTGTGTCCACAAATTAGATCCAGGCTATAGTGTCCTCGGGCCTCTCTCAATATAGAACCGAGTTTAGTGGATATGAAGGCAGTATTCTGTCAGAGCATGTGAGCATGTTATTTTAGGACTAGAGAGGATTGGAGACAGACTGAGGTGGTCACTGAGTCCCACCGTTTCCTGACTACCCATGATGATTCTGAAGCTCGACCAGGTTTAGTGGAGTGTATATTCTCCCAGCCCGACCAGCACTCCGCTGGCCTGTCTCCTAGTCCACTGTTCTGTCCAACCACAGAACTTGAACCAATGTGGAAGTGGGTGTAGTGGGGTCTGGGAACCCCAACATTCAGAGGTCACATGTGCACAGGAACTGTGATTTTCACATAATTTAAATGCCGAAGTCTACGCTACAGATTCAATCCTTCTGAACTGTGGGGACTGAAGACAGTTTGAAAAGCAATAGCGCTGTGAGTGGCTCTCACGGCCATGTAACCAAGTGAGAGACAAGAGCGTTCCCAGGGCAGACGCGGAGGGCGGCGCAGGCTCCCACCGCCCGTGTGAAAACAGAGCACCTGCACGCCCATCCGAGGCACCAAGTGCCAGGTGGCTGGTCCAGGCTTATTCTCACTGCCCGCCATGCCAATCCCTGTGTGTGTATCTGAAGAGGTTAGCACGTCCTCAGTACGCAGCCACAGCTTCCTCCCTTTGCTCAGGGCCTGCGCTTAGAGGTCTGAGCAGTGCAGAGATATTGCTTCACTTCTCCTTAGGATGTCAAGATCCTGGAGCCATCTTACCGCCCCTCCGGATAGGAGGGGGGCCTCTGGGTAAGTGTCCTGACCAAGCGGGAGTTTTCTAGAGTGGAGCATCTTCTTACTAAATCCAGGGACACAGAGACACTTGTATGCACACACCAACTTGAAGAAGAGAAGCAGGCTTAAAATGGTTCCCTCCCCCAAATCTTCTCACCCACTCCTGACCCACACTTAAACTAGAGGCACCCAGGCTCACAGAGACTCCCATTAAACCATTACCAACAGTTATCTCATCTCCAGATTTTAAAGGTTTTTCGGTTGGTGCCTTTCACCTAAGTCAGCATATTTCAAACTTGCAGGAGCCAGAGAGAAAAAAAGAAACAGAAATAAAAACCACGCTCTTTAAACCCCACCCAAATGATAAAAATCTCTTAAATTCTCCAAACGCAGTATCTTAGCCTGCTCTTACTCAGCCCTGGGTTCTGGGGTTGGCAGGCTCTGCCAGTCCCCACCTCACCAGCCTAATAGATTTTGCAGGCAAACCCCGGCTTGGCTGTGCGCTGCACCGCGCAGCGGACTCCGGGACCCATTCATTCCCCTCGGTCCCGGTCGGAAGGCCGGCCTTTGCCCGCCCTGAGGCGAGACACATTAGGGGGTGTCCCTCCTCTCAGCTCCTGGCCCCACTTCTCCCTTTCAGAGGGGGCGGGCAGTCAACCCTCCTGAAGTTTCACAGGGAACCAGACGTTCATCATCCCCCTGGGCTGCTCGTTACAACCGAGACCCGGGCGCGGGGCGCGGGGCGCGGGGCGGGCCGGCGCCGGGCGGCGGGGGGAGAAGCGGCTCCGAGGGGCGCAGGACCCTCTGTGAGAAGTCAGCCCCGGGAGTTCGTCCCCTGGGGCGGGAGCGCTCCCGGGCGCCGAGGGCCCGGGTCCCAGGCCAGGGAAGACGAGTCCCTACCGGGGAGGCGGTGGAGCCTGGTTTGGCCCGGGGTGGGCCGCTTCCAGCGCCGAGACCCGGTCAACAGACGGAGCAAAGAGGGAAGGGAAACCGGCCGCGCTGACATGTAAACAGGGCTTCCCTCCGGAGGGGCCCGGCGCAGACAGGCCCACAGACACCCTCGCGTGCACCCCAACCTCCCGCAACCAACCCAGTTGCCCGCCTCAGGGCCCGCCAGACGGGACCCCGGCTAGTGGCGGCTGCACCTCCGCCCCCGGCTCCTTGGCCTTGGGCGGGAGGAAGCCGGCCGCCAGGCGATGCCCAGCGCCCGGGCCCAGGTTCCGGGGCTGCCGGCTGGGGTGGCAGTGGGGACCTGCAGGGCTCCCGCCCGGCTCCGGCTCCGCGCCCCGGGGTCCCCGGGGTCCCCAGGGTCCACCGCGCCCCGCCAGCAGTCCGGCTGCCGCTGGGTGGGAGGGGCCGTCCTCCCCTCTGGGGGCCGAGGGTGCAGGGCGGTCACCTCGGCGGGGAGCCCGGTCGGCGCCCCAGCTCGCGGCACTCAGCACCCAAGCGCGGGAGGAGTCGGCGCGAAGCCCGGGCGGGGGAGGCAGGGAGCCGGCCTCGTCTTCCGGGACCCCGCGCCCCGCTCTCAGCCCGCCCGGGCCGGCCCGCCGCTTACCTTAATAGTCCCGTCCATTTGGCGAAGTCTGCGGCCGAGCCCCCCAATATTCCACACATTGACCCGGTTGCAGCCTGCCCTTGTAGCCCCTGCGGATTCGCCCGGCGCGGCCTCCTGGCGCCTCAGGCCCTCCCTTCGCGTCCCGCGTGAGCGCCCTGCCCTCGCCCCGGCGCACGTTTGTTGTTGTAGCAGAGCGAAAAAGAGACAGTTAACCGGATGAAACTTTTTTTCAGCTAATTTTGGGAAGTGACTTCACTTTGCGAATCGAGAGGAAGTCCTATCTCTCTCTCTCTCTCTGTGTCTCGCGCTCTCCCCTCGGCTTCCCCTCGTCCTCCCGCCCCCACACCCCCCTCTCCCTCTCCTCGCGGGTCCTGCTTTTCGCATCACACACTCTATATAAATATACGCGAGATGCCCAGATAGACTCGCGCTCGGCGCACACAGGATACTGGCTCTTGGGAGATAAGAACGCGCCAGGAACAAAGCCGAGGGCCTTGCCAGGCTCCCGCGCCCTGATTCCCGCAGTCTGCTCTCTCCTCCCCCCTTCACCTTCCCCCAAAGTCCAAAGCCAAGCGCCTTTGGCCTCCTTTCTTTTCCCGGGGCTGTTGGCCGAAGGTGGCCCTCCTGACTCATTCACTTTCCGTTTCTTCCCACAGATCCGTTCATTAATGCTTTTTCCAGCCGGAGTAAAAAAAAAAATTTGAAAAGGGGGCGGCGGCGGGATAGTTCACTCTGGCTGGGGGTAACCTGGCGCCTTCTGCCGCGGAACCCCGGACACCAGCCGAGGTACATCAACAATTAAAAAGTGAATACATGCGAAGTTCTCCACTCGCGCTCCAGCTGCCGAGACGCAGCGGCTCTTAGCGCTGCTTCCCACTTGCCCGCGCGGACTCGGGCGGTCAAGGACGCGGCCTCGGCTCCGAGCGCATTGTTCCCAGGGGGCACCCTAGGGGTGCCGCGCCCGGGTCCTCGCCTCCTGTAGAGCTCCCGGCCCCTGGGGAGGACAGGGATCTGTGGCACCCAGGCCACCTATCCGCTTCTTCGTGGGTCAAACCCTTCACGTTTACCCGGACGCCACGGCCCAAGCCCCGGCGGTGCCGGGGCCAGAGTCGCCTTTCCAACTCCACCCCCGCTCCCCAGGAGCCGACACTTAGGGCGGCAAGATCTTTCCTCTCTGGTCCGCGGGTCCCCGGCGCGCAGCAAGCGCAGTGCCATACCGACCCACATCTCCGCCCAGGTGAGACCTGGGCATCCGCGATCCGGACAGTAATCCCACCCAGCCAGGAGCCCGTCCTCCCCTCGGCCGGCGTCGCTGGCCCCGGCCCCCCGGAGACCTTCTCACCGACCCCTGCTGTGCGGCCGCGCGCTCCAGTTGGGGCTGCGTCGGGGGTCCGGCCCAGCGAGGGGACCCCGGCGCTCTCTGCCTGACTCCCTTTTCCCCGACCTCCAAAACAGGTTACCTTGTCAACGCTCTCCAGACCACGCTTTGGGCTGTCTCACTTTTATTTAAGCGTCCGCCCGGGGAAGGAGGAAAGATATCCAGAGAAGATCCGAGTCAGTTGGAAAGAAAAGTTTTCAAAAGGGTGTCCACAGCGGCGTAAAGGTGACTTATTAATTCTTTATTTCTTCAGAGCAATTGAGCCCGAGAGCTCGCTGTTGTCCCTCCCTCCCCCCTCCCTCCTCTCGAAATTAGTCTCATCAATTCCGCTCTAATTTGGTGTTCGAATACAGACACGGGTCTGAACGTGAGCAGACCCGGAGTGGCGGGCGCAGCCTGCCAGCAATTGAGACTCCGTTTGCGCTGGGGGGGGGAGAGTATGGGGGCCGGGCGGACTCCCCCCCTCCTGTCTGCTTCTCAATCCAGGGGTCTGCTCCGGGGCTCCCCTGGGACCGCCACATCTGGTTACCGCTAGCGGGGTCAGTCCCCCCCCCCTTTGCCTGGGGCCACCGGCTCTGGAGTTCAATTAAAAGAAATCAGGCTTAACCCTTTCCTGCCCGCGGCCCGCCTGCCCTCCCGCTGGCTCTTCCCTTCAACGTTTCCACATGCTTTCCAGAGAGGGAAGAGGTTAAAGGGAAAGGAAGAATGAATTACATCCTTTCAAACCCCAAATTGTTTCCTTTTTAGCCCAGACTTTGCCGACCTTCAAACGACAACAGGGCTTTCAGGAGGGCGTGGGGAGACCACTTCCCACCCCGACCTCACCAGCAATCCGTGCACCCCCAGCCACCCTAGCCCATTTTCTGCCAGAAAGGAATCCAACTCCATCAGCCAGCGGCCCCCTCCTGGTGCTGGCAATCACTGGGGCCCTTAATGGCCACCTCACACGTGGCGACACCCCCGCCCCCTCCACACACACACTCCTCCCGGCTCTTTAGAAAGCACCTTGGTGGCAAACATATTCGCTAGGTTTCTCTTTCCAACTCCCTGATCAGTCCTGGAAAATGACAGATTGTCTTCACTGTGTCGATTCCTCCTCCACCCCTCCACCACCCCCCTCAAACCCTCTCGGCAGAGAGCTACCTTTCCCATCCGGAGTGCTCAGTATGGAATTGGATTACTAGGAGGACTCGCCCCCTTTCTGTTTAGCTGTGGAAGTCAATAGCACTTTCTGTTTCTGCCTGTAAAACCAAAGCTAGGGCAATTTCGCAATTTTCAAGATGGGGAGGAGGAAGAAAGAGGCTGGCCTGGGCATAACTGTTGCCCCTTTTTGACTCATGGGACATAGCACTGGTGCCAGGGCCTTTTGCTATTTTCCAGCCCCCTCCCCCCCAAGAGCCAGCTCCTGCCCAGCTACAGGGGTCTCTACCCAGGCAAGAGTCTCTTCACTCCAAGCAGCTCTATGAGGGAATATCAGGTTCCCTCCACCCGCATTGCCGTGCTGGTGGACAAGTTAGCCTGCTTATGTAACTCTGGGTTTGATGCTCAGCCCTGCTGCTGCTGCTTTTTTAAATCCTGAAGGGGAAAAAAGCCCCAACCAAACACAACAGTAAACAAGCCCGCCCTGTTTAATGTGGTTACCACCAGACATCTGGAAAGATGGTTTGATCCTGGCAGCTCACATTGTTTTCACGAGCAGCCAAAGAGAATATTTTGAATGTTTGCATTGAGACAAATTGATAGAGAGCCTGCGGTGAGACCGGCTACAAATGAAAACTGTTTTGGGGTCAGAAGGAAAAAAAAATCCCTTCCCCTTTCCTCTGGCCCCTTCCCTCTCCCTTCTCCCGCTTAGCTGGGGGCTGGTTCCCCCCACCCACACACTTGCACACACCCTCTTTTTGGCTCACCAGGGACTGCCTTGCCTCTCTTTTCCAGACTGGGCAGGACTGGTGGCCAGGAGCTGGTGTTGGGTACCATGGGCGCCCGTTCCACCAGCCTGGGCTGGGTTTCAAGTCAGAGGATGCTCACAGCCAAGGACGCCCACGCTGAGCATTAAAAAAACAAAAACAACAACCCCCCCCCCAAAAAAAAAAACCCAAAAACTACCGACTGAGAAAGAAAAACCCAACAAACAGCCCACCCCACATTTCTCAGTTCAGGGTCACTTATAGGAACAATGCGCCTGGAGGCGAGCACCTAGGAAATCTCTGGATTGGGAGCATTGTCACTGGAACGCCGGTGGGGAGCATTTGCCTCGCACCATCCACACTTGACAGTATTTTCAAAGATGCGGAAGTCCTGCTTCCCCCGGGAAGAGAGCGGCGGGGCTAGACGTGTCTTGGCTCGCTCAATGTCAGCCCTTTTGACCGGGTCAAAGCTTTCCAGACGCGACTTCCCGGGTTCCTTCGGTCCCAGCCCCGGTTGGGGGTGGGGGGAGGCGACAACTGGAGCCAGGTCCCTGGGGTGCTTCGGGAGCCCAGGGCGGCTCGGTCACTTGAAACCCCAAAAGATGCCAGGCCTGGCTGAGGGTCCAGGGCGGATCCTTTCCCCTCGGTGCTCCTCATCCCCCAACCCCCACCCCCGGGTCCTGCGCGGCCTCGGCGGGGATTCGAACTGGCACGGGGAGGGGAGGGGGAAGGGGAAAGGCGAGC